ATACAGACTCGAAACTCCTCTTGCTATGAACAAGTCATAGACTCGTCGTACAATTTTCTTAATCTCTTTATATCTTCGGATAGAAAAATTTTCGAGAAGAACATTTTTGTCTTCAGAGATCCATCCTCGCGAGGCTAATAGTTCTCCCAAGTAATAAAATGTTTCGAGTCGATGTATATTAGATTGGATCCGAAAATTTTTTTCTTTTACTAGTTCAACCAGTATTTGCAATCGTATGTCTTCTGGTTGTGATATATAATCAGGAAAAATCATTATTTCCGGAGGAACCTGTTCAAAATATTCCTTGCATTTCTCAAGGATCGATTCGTTTGACGATTCCCCTAACAATGACTGGGTCGTCATTGAATTTTGTCCATTGGTCTTCGAGATAATTACTGCGGAAGTGAAAATTTCAAGTTTTTCGTCACTATCAGCTTCTTGCAACCAGGTTTCAAAAATTGACAAAAATTTGCTCTTAATTCTTTAGAGTAGTGTTCCATTATTTGAAGAGAGGAAATCTTTTTAATTTTTAGATTCGGGTGATGATATTTATAATTTTCGAGATAATAGATTTCGTGACTATCGGGATCTTCCTTTTTTGGTTTACAAGACATTTCATAATAATCTAGAATGGTACAACTTTAATCTATCACCATTCACAGGGGCTTTTAATATTTTATCATTAGAGGTCCATAGTTTATATGCCTCACTAGAGAGAACCTCATGTATATAGTATGGTCCCCTCCATCGTTTCTCTTGTTTCTTTCGCTTATATATGCCACCTTTGTATAACAGAATCATATCTCCAATCTTGAACGCTTGTGCCTCTTTTAATTTATTATCATGGCACTGTTTTTGTTTTTGTTGAGACTTTCCTATATTATTTTGAGCTTCAGTCCTATCATCATGTATTCTCCCAACGATATTATGTATCCTTTCTAAAAGACTTTCATTGTGACTCGCGGTACTTGGTTGTGCTCGTTAAGTTTGAACTTTGAATTCTATTAGTAAAGTAACCTCTCATCTGTATAACAAATAGAAAGGTTCGTGTCAGGTGGTATCATGCCTCTTTGTTCTATAGGCAAAAAGAGCTAATGGTACATACAGATCCCAATCATCTTTGTTTTCTGATGCAAATTTTGCTAACGTTTCACATAATGTTCAGTTGAATCGTTCAACCAATCCGTTGGTCTGTAGGTAATACGCTATCGATAATTTATGTTTGACTTCTAATTCAGTACACAAGGAGTTTAACATTTCATTGACAAAGTGGGTTTTTCTATCGGTCAAAAGTACCTTAGGATATCCATGTCAACATATGATGTCTTCATAGAAAAAGGACACAATAGATGATGCCTTTGCATCAGGAATGGCTCTAGCTTCAGGCCATTTTGTCAAATATTCCGTTGCAACTACGATATATGCATTCCCTCTTTCAGTCTTTATAAAGGTCCAATGATGTCCATTCCTACTTGATTGAAGGGTTGACTGACTTTTATGGGATGTAATGGTTCCGTCCTTCTATTTACTCCCTTCTTTGACATTCATTACACGTTTGAATGTATCGTCTTATATCATTATACATTTGAGGCCAGTAATAACGAATTTTTACTCGCCTAAATATTTCTTCTAATGCAAAGTGCCCTGCTAATAGATCAGAATATAGATTATAAAGCACTGTATCGATTTCATTTTCTTTTACAACTTTGTATGGCCTATGTGGGTCAATTCTATTTTTGTTGTATAATTGTTTATTAATTAAAATGAAATATTGAGATTTTCATTTTATCGTTTGTTGTTGAGATATGTTGGTATGTTGAAATTCGTTAAATTTTAAATGAATGAGAAGTATGTTCCTAAATCCATTATATCAATTTAGAATTATCTGTTAGTGTTATCTAAAAATTAATCAAATCCAATTATGTCGTTTCAAATTTATTATATGCTAGTATTCTATTTAACTTAATATATCTACATTTGAGTGTTGTTTGCTGAGTCAATTTATAATATCAAAGTCAAAGGAATTTAAAGTCATAATCCATCATCCAAGTTTGCTAACAGGATTTGCATTATTTTTCAAATACACCAAAGCGGAGTTATCAGTAACAATAACGAATTTTTGTCCATATAGATAATAATTAAAATATCAAATCGTCTAAACGATAGCGAAACATTCAAGTTCTGTAATCATATAGTTTCTTTATGCTTGTTAAGAGTCTGACTAGCATATGCTATTATATGCTCTTTTGAAACTTTTCTTTTTTGCACTAGAATTACTCCTAAGGTGAATATAGAAGCATCTATATATAATATAAAAGCTTTATCGAAATTCGAATATGCCAAAATAGGTGGAGTCATTAGATACTTCTTGAGTTTTTCAAAAGCATCATGTTGAGCCTTAGTCCATTGATAGGATACATTTTTCTTTAACAGCCAGTGCAATAGTTCAACAATGGCAGAAAATCCTTTAACGAATTTTCGATAATATGAAGCCAAAGCTATGAATTCTCTAAGTTGGGTTAAATCTTTAGGTATCGGAAATTCACTTATTACTTTTAGCTTTTTAGAATCCATTTGAATATCTTGTCACCTTATCACATGACTGAGAAATAGTAATTTTACCTTAAAGAAGAAAACCTTTTCAGGACTTAATTTTAAACTGGCGTTTCTTAATCTCAAGAAAACTTGCTCAAGATGTAAAAGGTATTCGTCAAAAGTCTTAGAGCCAATGTTGATGTCATTCACATACATGACTACATATTGCCACAAAATATCCCTTAAGATAGTATCCATTAATCATTGAAAAGTGGTGGGAATATTGTATAAGCTAAACAACATCACAGTAAACTCATATGTTCTAAATCTTATTATGAAGGTTGTTTTTTCTTAGTTTTTTTCATCCAACTTGACTTGCCAGAAACCACTAGCAAGATCCAAAGAGGAAAACCAAGTTGAGCTAGACAATGTTTCCAATATGTCATCTATCCTTAGTAGTGGATAACAATCCTTTTTCATTATCATGTTTAATTTGTGATAATTGACATATAATCGCTTCTTTCTATTTTTCTTTTCTACAACGATAATGGAAGATGTCTACTGGCTACTAGAAGGTTTAATCAAACCATTTTCCTGTAATCGCTGTATTTCTTTCTAAATAAATCTCTGGTTTTGGAAAGAGGTTCAGTAAAATCCCTGCTTGATTGACGCAGTAGTTCCCATATCGATCGAATGCTTAACCACCGATGTTTGTCTAAATTTATTAGAATCCCAAACAAAAAGGTCTCTATATTTCTTCATGAATTCCTCAAATTTTTTCTTTTGTTCCTTAGTTAAGTCTCCAACATGAAAACATCCATTATCAATTTCTTTGTACTGGTAATAAGACTCTTTAGTAACATCATTTTTAAAAATCACTTGTTTAACGAGTTCATTTTCGATCTGTTTGACTTCTTATGTAGTTATATACTGGTTGAAGCAATACAGCTGTTCTTGCAAATCAGCCTCTTCTTCATATTTCTCATCACTACTTTCAATTATGTGTTCTGCTTCTTCAGTATCATCATCAGCAGCATTTATTTCGTCTTTGATGATCTGATCATGTGGCATTTGATGACATTTTACCATAACAATAATATCTTCATTATTCCAATATAATGTCAAAAGGCTTTTACAATAGTTTATGATAGCTTGTGCTTCTTTTAGCCAATCATTTCCAACAATAATGACATAAGAGTCTGCTTCCGTAATAACTGCATCAAAAGGAATCATGTGTCTGGAGATCTTCAAAGGAATACTTGTAACAGCCCCTAAGGGTCTTCTTTTTTCACTGTTTACGTTAACCATTATTGTTTCAGATGCTCCTGTTATCTCCATATCCAGATCTTTAAGCAACTTTAGGGAAATTATGCATCTAGCAAAACCGGAGTCAATTATTAACGGAATTTTCACATTTTTGATGTATGCATCATAATATAATGCTGTAACTCTCTTTTTGGATCTACTTGCATAGTTTAATTCAATGTCCTCATTTTTTTCTTCCACAATAATTGGGTCTTTCAGCTTCTTTGCTATTGACTTTCGTATTACTTTTAATATAATCTGTCTGAACTTAGAATTTATGGCTATTAACTGTCCATTGGTAATACTGACAGGTTGATCAAAAAAATGTTAAGGCGTATATGCAGGGTTGGGAAGTACAGTGTTAGTACAATGATTAGTACAATTAGTACAGTTAATACATTATAATAATTAATATAGAAATTAGTACAAGTACAGTACAAGTACAGTGTTAATTTTATCTAGTACATACAAAATTCCTAACCCTGCGTATATGGATTAACCATATTATTTATAGGCAGAATCAAAGGGTTTTTCTTTTTACTGTTTTAGATTTTATTTTAATCTTCACATTCTTATTGTCCTTTCGTTGATTTGTTAGCTGTTGTATTAATTCAACATCATTCTCTTTTTTTTATATCATCCTCATTTCGTTCATAGGGAGTTTCTTGAGCGGCTCTGGCTTGTGTTCTAGTTGCTGAATAAGCTTCAAATAAGGATAAGTTTGAGGGAACAACTAATGGTTCTGTACTATCACCCTCATGAGATACACTATTTAGTTTAAATGTTGATCTTGCGTATTATCTTGCATTAACTGTGACAATAATTGTAGTAACTGCAGATTTTTAAGATTGTTATCTCCTGCTACCGAAGCATCATTAACAGTTGGTTGTATTAGGTGGGTAGGACTTGGTACGTTACTTCCTGTAGCTTAATTATGTTGATAATTCTAGCTATTACTTGGAATGCTAAAACTATTAGGACAATTTCTCTTTATATGTCCTGGCTGCTTGCATAGGTAGCAAATAAGATTATTCCATTGAGGAGTTATCGAAAGCGTGTTATTTGGCTGAAAATTTGATGATCTATACATATCGTTATTTTTAAAGTTTCTTCTTCCAACATTTATTTGCTGGATTTGTTAAGCTAGACTAGCTATCGCTTCATTAAGGGCATTAGTTTGTGTAGATGGTGTTGTAGTGCCATATTTATTCATATATGCCACAACGGCATTTTGGTCTTGATAGGTGAGTTCATATGTCTTTGATCGATTAAGTGCAACATCCCAAGTTTGGTCATTATGGGGTTTCATCATCAGATATAGCTCAGGCAATAATCCATTAACCAATCTATGAGCTTTTATTGCAATTGGATATGTAAATGCTGGGTTTCAATTCTCCTATATAGTTCTTATAAAGCACACACATAGGCGTCAATGGTCTTATTAGGTCATTGATGTCATCGTTTAAGCTCTGTAATCCAAATTTCAACCAAGGTTTGTGATCAAAAAGCGGCAGGAAAATTGGCAATAAAATCAGTATTTTATTATTCCCTGTTCATGCATTAATTCTATTTGCATTGTTAGCTGCTAGTACTTGATTTGTCGTCCACCAGGTAGAGGCTGGTACTTTGAAGTAGGCTGATACTACTTCTAATTTTCTGGCATCAGCAATTCCATTTGCATTACAGCCTTGTGTGAATTCTTCTAATCATCCAACAGGGTCTTGATTTCCTCCGTAATAATTAGGTATATCCATCACATGAGCTTCCCTTCCAAGAGGATTTGCCAATGCATTCACATAAACCTACATTTAGGCTTGTAAATTTACGATGGCATTATTTGCATTTGATGGTTCAGGAGGTTGTAAAACTCCTTGCAGAGCTTGTAAATCTGCCGTTAAATTTTGAAAATCAACTGCTTAGGCAGCCATTGAATTTTCTTCTTTAAATAATTGCTCAAGTTTTAGAGGTTCAGTATTAAATGATAAATTATTAAAATTTGAATCGTTTAATATTCCAAGATTATCTAATCTAAAACTATCATTAGATGATACTGGAGATGTGATTTCACTTGCGATATAGAGAACAGTAAATAGATCTAAAAGAAATCCTTGTGTATTGATAAATGTGTTATACAGTCAAACCTTGATATAGAGAACCCTTGATATAGTGAATTTTTAAATCAAATATATTAAAATTACCTTATTATAGTAAACTAGCCAATTAAATTCTTTAAAAAATTCGTTATAAGCTTATAACGAAGTTGATATCTAGATCCTAAAATTCATTATATTAAGAGTTCACTGTAAAAGGTTTGTCGAATTATTATATATGATTCTTCTGAAATTCTATGATATCTTATACTAAATATCAATTTAAAAATAGCAGTCTAGGTTTCTTCTATTCCCCTGGTATAGAAAAGTTCCTTGAGATACTGTTGAGTATATCTCGAAAATTTCTCAGCAGGATATTCAACAGATACCAGTTTCAAAAATTCTGAAATCGGGCTGTTAATAGGAATTCAAAAGGGTAACAATATTCACAGGATTGATCTCGATAGTAAGTGTTTATATTTCTTCAGCGCAGTGTCTGGTGATAATTATCGTGTGTATTATTTCTTTCGATATGGACTTGAAACATACAATTAATTAATAATTTCTTTTAATCTTCTGGCAGAAGGCACCATGTGTTGCACGTAATTCGAAACGTTTATTGGTTATAAACAATAGAAAAGGTAAGCAGAAGGTTTATATATTTAAGTATCTTTATTTATAACAAATAAAATCTAACATAAATCTACGTAAATAAAGTATTGCCTCAATCTTCAGTGCTCTATACAATCAGATACATAATTTATTAATATACTTTCATTATCGTTACAAATAAAAGGAAAGGGAATATATGCTAATATTGTCTATCATTTTTATCTAGGGAATATATAGAACACTTGATAAGTTTTACTCAAGCGAAATTCCACCTTTTTTATACTTAAAACCCAGCAAGGACTAATTGTTCAGAGGCCTTTTTGTTCTCAAAACATAATGGCCAGATGGCATATTGGCATGCAGACAATTTGGCCAGGAGACAATTAGGCCATCGATCTACAAAAGTCTAACTAAATACTAATAAAACTTAAATTTAAACTAAATAGAAATGGAACACAATACCCTGGAACTAATAGAACACGATAGAATAATTATATTTCTTTATAATAATAGCTATATAAAAAGTACTTAAAAATCTTTATATATTAGAATCGCTTGTCTAAACTCATTTTGGATTTGGCTAAACGTTTAAACCTTTAGTTTCACTAAATTTTTACTAAGTGTTTAATATAGTTTCGCCATTTTTATAAGCTTTGATATAGTTTTACCTTTTTCTGAATTTCGCAGATTTTTTAATAAGGTTTTAATATAATTTAACCAAGTTTTACCTTTACCATTTAAATGTCTTTCTAAACTCTTAATTTCGCCCAGAAACCTTAGGATCAGATAAAAAAAAAATGCCTTAAATGAAAAGATTGAAACAGATAAAAATCTTTTACAAAATATTATAAATAAAATAAGTAAGTTATTTTTTATTATTTAGTAAAAAAATACTTTCATAAATATTATGTTTAGAAAATTAGTAATAAAAATTTGTGCATTATCTTAATAATATAAATGATTTTATTAACAATGTATTATTTCAAATCTTTAAAAATTAGGTTGATTCAATTTATTAGAGAAGATATGATTTTGATGCGATATGTATTTGACAATCTATTCTGTATTTATTCAGTTTTTCGCTCAATTTGTATAATTAGTTGTACAGATCTTCATCGATCTATGTATTTGTGACTGATTTCCATTATTCACCTTGTGTAAATTGAATCTGAAGTTTATATAGCTATTTATTGCTACAGCTACAGCTATTGCTATTACTATTGCTATAAGCTTCTACGTATCATTAGAATAAATTAATAATTTAAAATTTCCTGTACTATTTTTGAAATGAATTAAATTTAACCATGTTTAAATTTTGCAGAAATTTTTGTTTTATTGATCTTTGTAGATCATTTGCATTTTATTATTTTTTAGATTTAAATTTAATAAAAAATTTAAAAAAAAAAATTTTGTTTCGTTTGATTTTTTTTGTGTTACATTAATTTATTTGTTGATCATTTATCAAATGGAATGATTTGGCTTGTATGTAATTATAAGTTAATTAGTATTTTGCTAATAAATAATTTATTATCTGACTTGAAATAATTATTTGTGATATTCTAATTAAATGAAATAAATGTATATTACATAATTATTATAATTAAATAAGCTTTCGCAAATATTCATTTAATAATTTTTTTTAGATTAGTAATATATTGAATTGATTTTATTTTTTTATATAAATAGCATGCTTTTTTGCTTTTTTCTTTTTTTAAAAAAAAATTTTTTACAATCTTTTTAATCACATTTTATTACATTGACATCAAAAAAATTAATTTTTCATTTCATTTATTCTTTCGTTATTTCTTTTTCATTTTTTCGAAAAAAAAAAATTGCTCTTAATCAAATACTTAATTTTTTTATTCATTTATTAAAACAATTCAAAAGTATTTTTGCTTATTATTATTTCAAAAAAATTTTTAAATTATCATATATGTTACTGAGTGGACCGATAAGGAAATTGAATATTTGATTGAAAAAAAGAAAGATTGGAAATAATGAATTTCATTACAAAACATGGAAGAAATAAAAGAAAATATTGCTAATGAAATTAATAAAGAGCAAAATCATTTTTTACCAGTGATCAATGCAAACAAAAATTCAATAGTCTCGTAAAAAATTATAATGTAAGTTTATTTTTTTTTATCTAAGAAATATAAATTTGATATTTACACATTTATAAATAATATGAAAATATCTAATAATATTAATTTTTATCTTATATTATAGAATCTGGTAAATTATGAAAATAGCAAAAGGAATGGAAAGATGATCAGATTGGCTGAAATTTATTATGATAAATTTAAAACCAATTTTTAGAAAAAACCCAGTAACTATCTCAAATAAAATTAATACAATTTAAGGATTATTTTTTTGATAATTTATTAACAAAATTTGTTTTAGTTAATGCTTATAATAAGAAATAGGAATCTATCTTAAAAACAGAAAAAATAAAAAAAATTGAAAGTAAATATAGATTTATTTTTAGTTTTATTGTATTTTTTCTTATAATAAATTAATATATTTAATATGAATTTTCTAATAAAATTTTTTTTTATAGAATTAAAGTCAGAATTTAAATCAGAATTGAAAAGAAATATAAAAGGTAAAAAAATTATTTTGATTATCATTTTTTTAATAATATTCTGTTTTAAAAATGCTTATATAAAAAAAAATTCTTTTTTTTTATTTAGTTATTTTAGTTATAAATAATAAATATAAAGATTTACCTCTTATGTATGAAGAGGTAATATATATTGAAGGTAAAACTTCAAACGAAGAAAAATCAATTTTTTTAAATGAATGATATAATTGGATGGGAGGTAAGTAAGCTTATTTTGTCTAAAATTTGAATTTAATAAAAAAAGGTAATATACTATAATCTAATTATAGAAATAATTTTTTTCTTTTATAGTAATTTTTGAATTTTTTTTGATAAAATAAAAATTATCGATTGAATTTCATTGGTTGCTTTGCGTTTTAATCAAAAATTGAAGGATTTTTTTCATACTAAATAAATTTATAAAGAATTGAAAATTTTTTTTTTATATAGTCTTTGAGTTTTTTTTTTTTGGATAGTATTTTTTTAAAACGAAACTTTTTTTTTCTTTTTGCATTTATTTGTATTTTTTTTTTTTTTTTGTAATTTTAGTTTTTAAATATTTTGTTTTAGCTTAATTTTATATATATATATATATAATAATTTGATTGAAATAAAAAACTTACTTTGATTTGCATAAAAATTTTTTAATCAATATGTTTATTATTTATTTAAAAAACAAATTTACATAAAATAAAATAAAAAAAATTTAAAAAATTTCTTAAATGTTAAAATTAAAAAATTTAATTATCATTATCATCTTTATGATGAGAGTCGAGAGCATTAGAC